GAAATGTCCATCTATCAAGAAACCTGTAGAGTCTTCTCCCTTCTCTCAGGGAATTGCTGTTGGGGCTTGAATAGACTTACAACATCCCCCGCAATCCCCCGCCCACTTTTACACCAGGCTAAGCTCAAGATAGCCATAAACATTTTGAAGTAATACAAATCGAAATATTCCTGCTAGGCAAACTGAGGAGTGGAACTGAATTATAATGAATCAACAGCTGTCACAATATGACCACAGTAACCAAATCAAAATATCAACCACTAACCCAGATGAGATTCAAAGGTCATTCAATAAGCCAGCGGCTCTCTTCAGCACTGCCTGAAAACCTCAAGAGAATCTTTGCACTGAAATATTCCATTAGGATGGTAGAGTTTTAGGAAAAGTTACTCTTTGTCGATAAATAAGTTAGTGTTCTGGTAGGGTCTTACATAGGTAGGACTAGAACCATTTACCACATTAAGGAAAACGAACAAGTTTATAAGCAAGTTCTTGACAATAAAGGAGTTGAGGAAAGAGCTAGCCTGTTGCACCCAAATATGTCTACATATCACTGTTCACCCTTCATTTGCCAAACCAAGTATACTATCTGATGGTTTTTCCTCTAACAAATCTAAGGGTCAATTAAAGCACTGAAGAAATAGAAGAAAAATGCCACCTTAGATCCTTAAATGGAGAAACATATTTTACTAGGAAAATTATTTTTCTACAGTAGCAAAATGTCCTCCAATAATTCCCTGCAGTACATTATTATTGGCTGAAAATAAAAACTCTAAAGTTTGGATAATCCTTGCCTGATGTTTTTGTTGCTTACTTAAAAGAATCCTGTCCAGATAAAGAGTCTCCTAAAAGCCCAGAGGAGTCAGATCCATAGCCCCATATCAAAGGCATATTCCAAAAGAAATATACTGCTTACCAGTCAGTGCTTGGTCTATATATTAAAAATGTCATTGTGTATGTACCAAAGTTAGTGACTTCTCCCATCTCAAATGTTCTTAAAGTACTTGGCCTCTCTCTCTCTTTGTTGTCTTTAATACATTCTTTCTAGATTCATCCTTACTTGTATGCATGTAATATCTCTCCCATTAGATTGTTGGCTCCTTTTTTAAAAATTGTTTTTACATCTCTGGAGTACCCAAACCAAGGACAGTATCTTTCACGTGGAAGAGACAGAATAAATGTTTGATTCATTTAATTGAATTGTGTGCATTTTCAGGAATTATATCATCCACTCATAATAAAGTGGTATTATTTTTCCATACCAAAAATGATTCTTCAGGGACAAAACAGGTTAGGGGTAATGTAACATAAAATGCTATTCAGACTGACCATATGTGTCTGCATGTATGAAGTTTATTCAGTAAACACTGAATGAAAAGTACCTATTAAATGGAGTAAATTTAGACAGAACCATCTAGATTGCTGTGGCATTTATTTACATTTTTAGGATGCTTGTCTTTGCTACTTCTAAAGGATCTGACATGATGATCAATGCCTTAAATTTCCCAATATTGTGGACACATATGCAAAAGGGCCAGAGAGAAGTTTGCTTTTTGTCCTAATGAAATCCTTGGAACTAAGAAACTCACTTTATTTTTCAAGAATAAAAGAGTTTTGTTTGCTTTAACGTTTTGGTTTAGGGATTTTTTTTTTTCATTAAAGAGATATATAAGTATCAGTCACTTGACAGTATGTCTTCTTTGCAGTAACTCTAGTAAGGTTACAATTTTCATACTGTTTTGTAGCATGTATTATATAAGAGTATGTTCTAACATAGGAATACACAGTATTAATACAAATCTCATAAACTTTCCAAAGGACCAAGATTATAACAAATGGACATTACTATATTTAGATTTTAATTAAGGGGTACTGTCCCTGCCTCTGTAGTTTATTCCCATAAATACTAGGTCTAGTTCCATACAACATGATTTTGTCATAAATGACAGATATTCACTCCCAAAAGAAAAATCAGAAAGTAGTTCAGTACTTTGTTTTTTTCTGGTCGTAAAAAGAAAACCTCACAGAATCAACAGTTTGCTTTAAAGTAAAAATCGGGTCATTTACAGCTAATAACTCCTTCCTGTAAAATTAGTGTTACTTATTTTTGTGGTAGATTTCTAATTCAGTCTTAGCCTTGATTGATTTGACAATCACAAATCTGATCCAATAAAGTAGCTGATTTATTTCTGATGCTATAGCTCGTGCCCCAGTGTGAAATCATGGGAGAATTAAGTCTTTGAAATGTAAAGAAATCCTTTGTAGTTTTAATGAGAACCAGTTACTGATTCTGAGAGTGGATGTTGGCTCTCTTTCAGAAAGCTAAGGAAAGAGTCAGACAGACACCACTTTTTCTTACACATGGAAAACTCTCAGAAAGGTTATAATTTGGAATATCAGTATGGACCCAAATAACAGATTGTGATATTGTGCACACAATTGTGCACACACGCACGCATGCACGTGTGTGTGTGTGTGTGTGTGTGTGTGTGTGTGTGTACCTGCTGGCTATGGAGTTCAAATTGCTAAACTAGACAGCCTTCTTTTGTACAATCTGACTCATCATCTGAAAATCAATTACCCTTAATTTTTTTGAAAACTATCTTCTTCTATAAAGAGGGCATAACAAAATATAAAAGTAAGTAAACTTCAAAAAAAATTCATTCTGAATGAAGGCAAGCTTTGGCAACGTCATTAAAAAACATTGCAGATAAATTCTAACTAAGCCCTGAAGTTGACACTGGTGGATCAGAAAATTTTTAGCAGGGTGTTTAACTAGATCTTAAAAATTGCTTTCTTCCTTTAAATTTTTATAATTGAAGTCTCTGTTTCTTCTTTAACAAAAAAAATTTTAATAGTCAATTGCTCAGTGCCCTCCCAACTCTGAGGGTGACTGCCCTGACCCAAGTCTGACACTGCACCATTAATGTCAGATAAACCATTTAGTTCAAACACAATTCTTTTCTGTGCAAGAATCTGCTAGAGGTGGAAAATGTAGCAGTTTGTAAACAATAAAGAGCCATGTTTCAGACCAGACAGCTTATCTGACAGAGCAGTTCTTTCATTAAAAGCAGTGGGTGGGAGACTCGTGGACATAGTTGCATTTCCTATCACAATGCACTAGACTGTCTTGGCCTCCATATTTAAGAGTTTAATGGGAAGGAGGGCAGACAGGATAAAAGAGCTTGGCTGACATGGATTTTCAGCTTAAACAACAACAAATTGAAAGGAGTAAGCCCTGGGCTCTAGCTAACTTAAATTTTAAATACTGTTCAGATCGAAAAAGCAATCTGGTCTTTTGAATATTTTCTCCCTTAGGAAATATACAACAGTATTATTATTTAATATGTATGCATTACGTTATATGTTCTGTTATATTAATTTATTAAGTTATTGGTACTAAGCCACTTTATTTTTCTCTTATGTTAATACATCCCTCTAAAGAAAATAAATATCCATTTAATCAATTTGAATTATTTTAGATCATCAGAGGATAGTTTTAGGACCCCTTAGGGAAGCTTCTTCTAGACTGGTTCATGGCTCAGCCTCTAACATGTATGGACTATTATATTCAAATTTTTATCCTCTGCTATATTTAGGTTTGAGTACATGAGTTCTCAGAATTAAAATTTTTGTTGTGGTTATTATAGCTGAAGAAACTAAATTTCTTTTTAAAAACTTAATTGAACAAATATGTCCTTGGAAATCAGAGATTCTCTAAACTTATACCTTATGTAATGAAACATAAACTAATAACTTATTTAAAAGTAACAATGTCTCATATATGTTCAGACATCTTATAATTAAAAATAGCCTGCTGGGGATCAAATATAGGGCCCCAATGTCACTTTTAAACACTAAAATCGATGTCATGAGTTAAAATAGAAATGTTAGCATTTCTCTGCTTATGTTGGCTTTGAGTCTAACACCTCAAATTCCTTTGATGGGTTTAGTGATGATACATAACATTACTTTTAAATGCAAGGCTAATCCATGAGTTAAACAACCAATGTATCTTTCCAGCCTTTTTTAAAAATCAGGGCATATTTTGGAGGCATTGGCATTAGAGAACATAGTCCTGGTTGTATATTCTTTGTAGGGTGGTCCAACAGCTTGAACCAAGGAATTTCATTTAATTTACTGATCAATTCAAAGGAAGCATAGACATGATGAGAGACTCCTGATATTTTTAATTACATGTTTATTTAACAAAGATCATTCATCACTCATAACTAAGATAAACAGATAAAGAGACCTATAAAATAATATTTTCATTGCTAAGACTGCAGTTACTAAACTAACATCTCCATGGTGTGGTCAAAAGAACAAAGACTATATAAAGGACTCCACAATGAAGGGCACATTGGTGTCTGGCCCTTCAGCTCAATCAGTATCTAACTTGGTTTCAGTAAAACAGAATATAGCTGGCCCAGGTCTTTAGGTCTCAGGTCGAGGACTTGACTGTTACACATCCATATTCTGACAGTTTACTAGGAAAATATTGGTCATTTAAAGTCTTGTAAACCCACTTGTTCTTTTCTTAGCCTCTTGGTTGAAAATTCCCAAGTGATATTGTCCATCTTCAAAGTGGGTAGCTAATTTTTCTCTACCAATAAAGAGTTCAAGATAATGGAAAAAGAAAAAAATTTGATCTTAACATTTTGGCTTCTTCCACTTTTAACTTTCTGGACTTCTGCTGCACTATTGCAACTACTTGCTAATATCTCACTATTTAAATGGAGGACTTCAGCAAGATTTGGTATAAATATAGTCTTTAACTTGCCTATATATATTTAATGAATTCCATAATTTTTCATGTATAAGAAAATGTTAAACACACACATACTGGTACCAAATGTAGAAGATTAGTCAATTAGTATACCAAGTTGTATAAAATAAATTGCAAGGTCCCTAATACCACAACACTATTTACATGTTTTTTAAGCAAATAAAACATAAGTATTCAGAAAAGAATATATAGTTTTCAAAACATAACTACTTACTTTGTATTCTGGAATTGACAAAAGGAGGAGAAAGATTGTCATGTGATCCAAGGTCCCTGCTGGTCATATGTTCATAGTGGGTCCCATCTCCATAGTTCTGTTAATAAAATAAGAATATAAGTTAAAAGATTTAGTTATAAGTATGCACACAAGCAGAAAAGAAATATTTGTACATAGAGGAAATTACACTCAACCTGCCGTCAGAAGATTCCAGCTCCCACCTAATAAATATATAGCTGTAACAATTTACTCAATTTTCTTACCTATAAAATGGGCATGATCATAAAAAATGACTTTGGAATTTTAAAAGTGTTATTATTAATCTCCATCCTTAAAACTCTTTCCAGATAACAAATCAAAATAAAGTAAAGAAATCTCATTTTCACCCACTTTCACTATTAAGTAGGTCAGATTGTATTATGAAAGTATTATAGGCAAAAAGGTTTTTTTTTGTTTTAAAGGCTTTAGGTACACTAAGCCAAGTGATTATTTAGAAAGGTTGTAAGATGCATTTATTTTATGAAACAATATCGAGTACCAGAGTCTCTTGACATCTCTCTTACGTTTTCATGTCATAAGTAACTTACAAGTGGTTTCGAGGAACATCAAGACATCAGCACATTTCAGTAGTACTGATATTGCACATGGCATACAAGCACATAGATTGTAAAGTATATATATTTGGGGACATTCTCAAAGGCTGCTCTTTTCCTCTTTATTTTAATGGCAAAAGCAATATACCAAAGAAAAACACTTTACTCTGATGGATCACTTCATTTAAATGTGCAGATCCCAGTATTTGGGGAGGGCGGAGAAAGCAGATTTCTATTTTCTTTTATCAAAACATTTGTTCCATCTTGATATAATGCTTAAAGTGACCAGAAAAAAAAATCTTCCTGTTCAGCTGGCTCCACAGCCTTCAGAGAAGTCCAAATTACATTTACTTAGAGGTGTCAGTCTACGCCCTTCAGTGTTTTATACATATAACTGCTCTTCAACTTTTATCAAAATCTATCACCAAATATGTTAGCCAAAAGGCAGAATCTGCCCCCAGGAGAAAAGACACAGCCTTTGGTGAAAGGCTACAACAGTCTGCTAAGCTCTGGCAAAAATGCTTTAAATCTCCCATGTTTTCCATTTATTACATGAAATTAGAGAGCACTGAAATTCTAAATTTTAACTCTACAAATCTGTCCATGTACAAAAGTATTCCATGATTTAAACCAGCATAAATGAGAATCTTGGGTTTTGCAAACAAGAAAATACAAATAACAGTATGATAGATTCACAATTGTTCACTGAGATATCTTTAGATTAGTTTCAGGGGAGTTGAAGGAAACAAACTATTAAAGTCCGAATAGTTCTAACCTGTTCATTTTTCAGAGAGATGAACGAAACTCTTGTAATACAAACAAGGTAAAAACCACAAGGAATCCAATAAATCTGAATCACCCTCATGAACATAAGAAATGCAGTAATCTCCTACACTTACTGTTGAGAGGAATGAATTTCCTTCTTTGAGTAAAGACTGTAACATGAGGAGGAGGAAAACTTTCCTCAGCCCATCCACATAACGCATTAGAATATTAAACTCGACAGCTGGTGCAAGGCCTCAACAAAGTGATTGGTAAGTATAAAGATACTGCAATACTTTGAAGACTAAAGTTAGGATGACAGTGCCAAAGGACAGGTGGAGGTATATGGACCCACAGTGCTCAGAAATATTCTGATTTTGACAATTTGACTTCTTAACATGCCTCTGATACCAAAATAAAGACCTTCCCCAATATAGGCCCCCTAAAGCAAACTACATGTAAATACACCTCAGCTTTAGTTTAGTTTTTTTTTTTCTTGTAAGCTCATAGTTTTGGTTCATCTTACTCAGACCACATATGCACACATGTATACAAATTCTTGCATACTGACATATATAAAATATGATGAAATATGCTATAAGAGTTTTAATTTTTTTTTTGTTTTTGTGAGGATAAATAATTGGGCATCTGATTCAGTGAAGCCTGGCTGTATGCTAATATCACTAAACATTGGAGCTGAAAGGGACCTCAGATATCATCTATTACACCTCTCTCATTTTACAATTAAGGAACTGAGGCTCAGATAATTAAGTGTATTTTCCAAGGTCAGTGACCTGGCCATAATAAACTAGTGGCAAAAACAAGACTAGAATGTGCATGCCCTAACTCACCATCTAAAGGCCTTTCCCACTAAATCACAGCTACAAATGGACAAATAATAAGAAAAAACAAACAATGAAAGAGGGCAGCATAAAACTCAGAAGCAAAGAAAAAGTGTAATTTGAATGTGTCCATGTGCCCAATTGTAATCAAGGACTCTAGTGGTAAAATAGTAGTAGTGTATTTTTGAAGTAAAATTCACTTCCCTAAAATCACTTTTCAGACTCATATATACAATGATACCCAAGAGTCATAAGCTCTGTAGTCAATTCTTTTTGTCCCTGTTTCTAAGTTGCCCAGCCTACCATTTATAATTTCCCCAGTATAGGATCCATTTTTGAATAATGCTTCTGGTCAGGGAAAGCAGGTAGTTGTCAAACACAGTAACAGGATCAGATAAGACAGTAAAGGGGGGAAAAAGCAATTCCAAAGACAAGCTGATCTGCTACCAACTTAGTCTGCACGTATTTCTATGAAATCAGGTGTATGAAACTCGCGTTACATTTGTCAATTTACATATGCAGGCTGTCTGGTCTCGAGAAAAAAAGATTAGATATACTTACCCTGGATGGACTTGGATGTCCTCCATTCCCCCAGGACCCTGAGCTAGTTCTGTCTTCTACATCTAGGGACAAGAAAAAAAGTTCTTTAGGCTTTATTGCAATAATTCTTTCTTTTTGTATATGCACTTTTAAATTAATGTTTCAAATTAATCTCCTGTTGCCTTTAATTAAGAATCAGGCACAGGGCTACCACGATGATAGTGGCTTTTGACCCAACTACTTAAATTAACTCATTTAAATTCACAGCAGAAATGAACTGGACCCTCAGGAACCAGAGGTTTGAACATAAAAAATAATATCCACCCTTCAGTGTTTTATGAGCCTCAGTTTTTTGTATCATAATTATTCTTAAAATTTTATCAGAATCTATAACCAAATAATCTTCTTAAACTTTCCTTCTATCTTCAACGAAAAAAAAAGGAGCTGATATAAAGGGAAAAACACCTAAATAAGTATAAAGAAATTGCCTACATCCTTTCTTCAATGTTTAAAGATACTTCTTGCCTTTTACCTGAGGACCAAGTACATGTGTCATCAAATGGAGAATAAAATAAGGCTGTATCTGGACTTGGATTTAATAAATATTTTCTTTAACTTTTCTCCCAAAAGGCAGTAGAGAAATTAAACAAACATTCTATTAAACACTTGTCATTTATAAGGTATTAGGGATACAAAGAGAAAACTATACAAAGTCTTCAGCCTCTAGGAACTTACAGTCCTGTCAGGGGGAATACAACATATACATTCCTAAGTATGACACAAGGTAGACTGTGATCAAGCCAAAGGAGAGCCATGAACAATGAAATTACTCTAACTTCTATCACCAATTAAGTAACATTACTGGATAAATGAAGGAAGCTTAATGCCTCAACTGGTAGACCTGAAATGAGAGAGATATAGTTAAAAAGCCATATGTTATTTAAAGCACATAAACATTAGAAGATTTAGTTAACACGAGAAATTGTCTCAAATTTCTTTGAATAAATATCCTTTGTAATAAAAGGTTTTATTGCTATTAATTATGACTTCATGGAAGATAACACACGGTCATCAAAAACTTCCCATGACAGAATTGAGGAGGAGGTGTGAAATTTGGTCTTGTAGACATAATACCATTTATTGTTTCCTAACATTTTAATGATACTGTTTATTCTTTTAATGCTACTACCACCATCCTTTTTATTGCTTCTATTTTATTATCAGCAGCAGTGATCATCATGGTATAATTAATTGATTTATTTATAGAGTACAAGGTAGAAGGTGTTTTAGTATAGCTTACGAATTGAACAACAACAACAATTCATTGTTAAGACTGAGCTTGAATTGTTTTTTTTTTTTTAAAGTTTCTTTTTAGTTATATAGTTAAGAAGAAGGAGTCTTATCACTTCAAAGATATCCCAACTGCAATAGATTTCCCCCATGTACAGTCAAAATCAATGCACTGTATGTTTCAAGGCAGGTCAAGAAAACTCCTGAGATTGCATCAAGATCTGTGAGAAGACACAAACCTTCTCTAAATCTGCTTTTAAAAACCCAACAAACTGGTTCACAGTATTTGTGCTTTACTGAAGTATTTTGTGAAATGATTTTTCAGGCCTCTGGGATTTTGACACTAATGAAATGTATCCTACGAAGTCATCCTAATTCATAAGCAGAAATCAAATATTTTAAACAGAAAATGTATAAATAATGGCATCCTTCTTCCACTACAAGTTCTTAAGAATCTATTCCCCCCAACTATCACAGCTGAAGGAACTAACATATAATTTAGTCCTAAAATGAAGTATGTGGATAAATGAAGTAAGCTTAATGTCCCTAAGTAAGCTTACATGAGAGGTATAGTTAAAAAGCAATATGTTATTTAAACATAATCCAACTTCAAGTTAAACGAAAGAAGAAAGTTAAAAGGAAACTGAATTTGAATTCATCTGTTTCCTAGGATTTGCTCTATCACATTGGTTGAATCATTTGTTTTCCATTTTTTAAAAATGTATTAGTTAAACATGAATAAATGATGAGAGGTAAGGGGGGGAAGGATTATATATAATAAATGGAAACACTGAAAGGAAATGATGTTTGAAAGAAAAAGGAAAAATAAGAGGAACAAGAATTGGACTTCTGACCCCATTTCCTGTTATATGCCCTGTGATTTCTGAAGTCTAGCTCAGATCAGGGCTGTGGCTTCACAGGGGTTCCTCATACGCCTCTTCTGCCCACGTGAAAAAGTAAAGATGACGGTCAACTAGCAGCCAGCTAATTAACAGGCAGCTAAAATACATCAAAACTTGAGTATTCCCAACTGGGCATTTTCAAAAGCGAGCAATCCACTAATTAAAAATGTTGGAAGTCAAGATTTTTCAAAGCAGGTTAAATACTAGTTGGGTTCCTTCACACATGGATTCCCAGCCATTTATATAAGGCTGCTCTTTTTTCTACTTATTTTCTTTATGCCTCTCCTATCTAGTTCTCCTACTCAATAACATTTCTTTTCTGCTTTTTTTTCTATTTGTTGTTTTCTCTTTCCTTCTCTACGCATGAGCAAAGCCTGAGGCTCTACTTTGGGAGTCAGGACAAATTGCTAACAACCTCAGTTGCTCTGAAATGGTCATAAGTCCTGATCTAATTTTAATTTTGATATTACTTGATGCTGAATTGGGAGACAGAGTAATAGCAATGAACAACTAAAATTTTACAGGCCATTTCACAACCATAAATAAATCATTAATTTAAAAAAAAAACTACCTTTTAAAATCAGAACTGGCCATTAAATAGCAAACATTTACTGAGTGCCTACTGTGTGCAAAAATATATATATATATTTATACATATACATATACATATATATGTATGTATGTATGTATCAGAAACATTGCTCGTGAGCCAAGAGACACAGCTAGAAAATGACAGAAGAAAAATTACTGAATGATACAGCAGCAAATACAAAATAATACACAGTAAAATCTAAGAACGTAAAGCTGACTTAATTGACTGGGCTGGCCTTCAACTTCTCTCCCTAGTGAAGTTCATTTCTGAGGAAGGAATAAGAATAGGGAAGGACATAAACTACACAATGGAAAAGGAAAGAAAGAAGAGGCTGGCATAATCCCAAAATGGAATTATAACCTCTGTGAATTCCAATAAGACTGTGCTAAATTCAATTCGATTCACTAAGCATTTGTTGTGTGTACTAGGTGTGGGCACTGGGCTGCACTCTATTCACAAAGACAAAAACTTTTTTGGGGAGTAAGGCAAGCTCATGGATAGGGAATATATTCTCATGAAGGCACCTTGATGAGACATTTTTTTTGGTTCAATTTATTAGAATGTGTCTAATTAGGTCCAAAACAAAGAAAACTAAAAGAAAAAAGTCAAATATAGTGAGAATTCAGGAGCTCCTCCTTCCTTTACCACCAACAACAACTATAACTACAAAGAGGAAAAGTACAGCTTTAGGATCAGAACAATTTTAATTTATGTATCTTTTATTTATCTTTCACCACATAATTGTTTAAATCTCAAATCTGGTCAGCTGATAGAAACCTTGAAAAGAACTAGACTGGGTTCTAGCTCTGTTTCTGCCACTAACTAGCTGGGGGTAGGGTAGGTAGAAGGAGGTGTAAGGGCAGGACCTATATGATGTGATTTCATCAGTGTAGGGGAACTCAAATTTCTGGTAAGGAACCGTACCCTCTCTGCAATTCAATTTTAGTAAGATGTTTGGGGAACTAAGAGGCTAAATAATTTGCCTGGATTATAGCCAGTATATGTCTGGAGGTGAGATAGCAACACAGGTCTCCTCAGGCCAGATTTCTGCATACTACACCCCACTGTCTCAACTGGATAAATTACCTTAGATCAGGTATTCTTAACCTGAGGTCTATGGAGTCCTAAGGGGTCAAAGGTTAGATTTCTAGGGGTTTGTGAACTTGGATGGGAAAAAAATTACTTTTCAAATTTTCATTAAACGTTTACTGAAATTGAATATTCCTTCAATTGTGAATGCAAGTAATAAATATTATTCTGAGAAGAGATTTATAGGATTCACAGGACTACCAAAGGGGACCATGATACAAAAAAAAAAAATAAGAACCTCTATCTTAGACAAAACTACTTTCAATAAAAGGAAGAGTTTGGGCTTCATAAACTGCAAGGTATCTTCTAGCTCTGAATCTTTGATCCTATGATCTCTCACTGAGCCTCACTCTTTCTCATCTATAAAGTATAGGGTCAGACTAAACAATTTCTAAGATTCTTTCAACTCTGATAGTCTCTGGTTTTATAGTCCTGTCAAGCTGAAAAATCCTGTCATTGAACTTCAAAATGCCAATGTGTTTGCTGAACTCTCTATCAACAAGTATATGTAGAAAGCTGACACATACAAGATATTTTGCCAGTCTCCAGGGAGATGGAAGATATAAAAATCTGGTTCCAACCCTCAAGCAGCATAGAATTCAGTTGAGGAGTTCAAAGACAAAAAATAGTAATATACTGTAACATATCCATTGGAGAACATTATATGAAAATGTAGAACATTATGTGAATAATCCCCATAGTAAACGCGATCATAACTCACAAGAAAATGTCACTGCAGGGTGGGGTACCTACAAAAGACTTCATGTTAGACATGGGGCTCAAGCTCACTTTGAAGTAAGATTAGAACTTATATGCGGGGCAGAGAAGGTAGGAATACGAAGAATTCTAGACAGGGAGTATGGTAGGGAAAAAGATGTAAAGACAGGAATGAAAGAACACACAGCACTTTAAGGGACAGTGAGTAGACAAATTTGGCAGAAATAGAGAATGCAGATGACATTCAGAAAAATAGGGTTGGAAAGACAGGTTAGGGCCCAGAATGTGGAGACCTATAAATGGCAGACTAAAAGTTTTGATTGATTTGATAGACAATGGAGTGCCTCAAAGGATTCTAATATGGGTAGTGGCGTACTCAAAATGCTAGTATTGAAAAATTAATCTGGTGGTGGTGTGTGGGAAGAACAGAAAAGGGAAGCAATTGAAGGCAGAGGCTTGGTTAGCAGATTATTGTAGCAGCCTCAAAATTAAA